ATATATATATATATTCATTGTTTTTTTATTTCCTTCATCTTTTCCTAACTCATTTTTTTTCCTACCTTTACATAACGTCTTCGAATTTCCAAACGTTCAGGTCGATCAAAAGGCTAAATCAGGGTAAGCAATATAATAACTTCCCATGTTCAGTTTATATATATATATATATACAATATTTACTCCTTCATTACAATCAACCTCGGAATCCTATAAGGTAGAAAAGAGTTCCGAGTATGATAGGAATTATGCATCGTCAAGAAGAATAATCATATACTTGGTCATCAATGCCGAATGAATCTAATAACCAAAAATCAAAGATGAATTATTTGAATAAAGCGCGTGAAGTTTTTCCGGGAAGCCTCATACTGCCATCTTCGCATGTGATTCTTTTACCGAGAAAACGGTTTCTGCCTATTGATTGGAAAGTTTACATAAGGCATCCGACTACAAATCTAGATCAAAAAACGTAGAAATCATCGGATATGTACATACATAATTATATGAAAGAGCATGTAACCTGAATGGAAAGAACATAAAAAAGACACGGTAAAACAGAAGCAAACCACTAAAAGATGATGCAACTTTCATTTGGTTTTGTAGAAATAATCTTGGACTTTCACAAAATTTGCTTCGGCATGTTGTTTCGTGTAGATCTGAAGTGGAAACATAAATAAAAGATAATGCCAAAAAAAAAAAGAAAAAAAAGGTTCAAAACGCTGGAATGTCAAAAAATCTCAGCCATTCATTCCCAACTAATGTTCTTATACTTTCCCTTAATTCCTTCTCAAATTCATTTGAACGTTTTATTATTTTCTAACCATTAAACGAAAAAAAAATATCTCAGCTGTGTCGTTCCTTTATTATACATTACCCCAGTGACAATAACCAATACTTTTCGATGAATGACATAGCTTAAGGCCTTAAGCCTCTATCTCTTATTTCAGATACATAATGGTGCCGGATGGTGAAATAAGGGTGACGTAATGGTGATAACGTTACTATTATTACATAGTGATGTCGTCTCCGTCATTCTCCACGAGAAAATTTAATAGAGTCACACTTAAAAGTTAGGCTGACAGTATACTTAATTAAATGCACGAAATAATAAATCAATCACTTGAATATCTTTCATCGTGATGCAAAATTTATTCACGATGATGTGAATGACCCATCAGTTTTCTTCGTTTGTGAAAAGTTTTGCCTAAACAATCACAAATTTGTAAATACTGCAAAATCAGTCCCGCCATTAATTCTCATACTTCTGATACCAAACTGCTTTTATTGGTCTTACCTGAACAGTTGGTAATCCTTGTACAACAATAAATCCTGGTAAAGAGAATGCTTCCCGAATTTTTGACTCAGGCATCAATTCTGCACTATCGTACTCCTTGTCCAAATCCAACGATACGAAATATCGAACATTGCCATAACGGAAAAAGGAAAATGTTATTTTTTATGCAAATTAAGACTAGCTTCAAAACACATCTGCATTTTTGAATTGAAATATAATAATTTTAAGATCTAGAATTAAATCATACTTAAAAATGTCAGATAATGTTCTATGACGAAAAACACCATAGAAGACATCATTTATTGAACTTTCTTCGGAGCATTCAGTTAGCAGATCAACCTTCCCTGTTTCCGGATACTGCGCCAGTATAGGCCAATGTAATACGCCATAATCATCCACATAGACTTTTTCAGACTATAAGAAAATGACATTAATTTTGTGTAGAAAAACAAAGCGAAGTCTGAAATTCCACTGCAAAATCGAAATTGAGTTGATTAGACAGATTAGGTAAATTGCGCTGGATGAATGATGAAACACTTCTGTCTGGATATAATTAAAATTGTTATTACGACTTCGAAATACAAGGATGAGTAGATTTAGTTAAAGTTAAAAATAATGGTATCTTTTAAAACTTGATTCAAAAAGCAAAGAAATGCTTTCTGAACAACTCGAGTTCTCCATATGATTACTTGAAAAACGACAATCAAGATTACTTGAAAAATGACAATCAAGGTATCAATGCCACCAACTATACCAAAGGAAATTAACGCCATAAACTATATCAATGACTTCAAACTATGATTAAAACGAATAACCTCTTTCAGAGATGCCAGCTGTACTTCAATTTGTGACCATTCGAACAATTCAGGATTATCAAAGCATATAGGTGGCCGGAAATTAATATCTCTCACCTTAAATGCTGATAATAATCGTTGCTTCGCACTCAAATCTTTCGCAGCCTGTAAAAAAAAAATATCGCACAGAAGAGAATAGTTAAGATCGTCCAGCAAACTTCATGAACCCACATTTTGTCGCCTCTTTCGCTCATTTCGTTCCTCAACTAAGACAAGTTGCTGCGCTTTTTCATACAGCTCATTTATGTAGTCATCATCCACTTTACGACCTAAATGCATGTAATTAAAATGAATCACTGAGTAATCCATAACCTGCTTAAATAATAATTACATAATCCTATATATTCATTAAAAAATAATTTAACACCTTATATTTTTGCTTACGTCTCACTATTTATTCTGCCCCTTTATATTTTATTAGCTCATTTTCTTCACTCACATTTACTTGCAAGGAAAAATGGATCTAAGAAAGTAGCAGACTTTGTCATTTCAAGAAGTAATGAAGTCTAATGAAGTCTAATAGCCAGATACACTACGATTACATGGTATAAACTTTTCATTTTTACAATGTTCCTTACTGCTTTGGAGCCAGTCTATGCACTGCTTTCCTCGACCAAGTTCCACCAGACATTCTGCACCACGAATAATTGCCTAAGCAGATATATATATATATATATATGTATATATATATTCATTTATTTATTAACTTTTTTCTTGATTCCTTACAAATTTACAAATGAAATGTTAATAGAAATATAAATACTGTACGATATTTTACGACTTGCGTTAAAATTTCATACGGAAAATTTTGCAGCATGTAAAATAAACTGCATTTTATACTAAATACATACGTTATTCTGAAGCACCGAACAAGAAATCGATACTTAAAACTGAAATAATCCACAGAAAACGTGATGGACTGAGTCACAGCCAGAATCAAAAGGGTGAGCCAAAATGCATGATTAAAAGGGTATGTTAATAGTTTAAATTTATAGAAGAAACTCCGAATATTTGAGGATATTAATCAGACATAGACGAAATACCCTTTGAGCAAAACTACATAAAGTTCTGTAAAGTTTATTTATAGAGCAAAGAAAAAGTACTTGAGATATCTTAGCGACCCATATGGTTTTTATTCAGCCAATCAAATTTGTAATGATTATCATTTATCCTAAACGATAAGCTATAAAAAAGTCAAAATATAATAGGAACCTTCACATTTTCAGGATCAAACTTCCGAGCAAAGAAACAATCTCTGAAAGCAGAGCCAATATTACCAACACGTTTCTGAGCGGCAGCTCGATTAGCATATAATATTGAATTCAGTAGTCGATCCGTACATCTTTGATTAATGCCTGCATAAACTCAAGTTATTAAATCTATTTACAACAAACTCAAAGAGAAGGCTGTAAAAACACTAATAATTTCTTCTGCTTTGGCCAATCATTACTTCGTTTCAGCAAAACTAATTGAAGAAAAAACAAATCGCTGAGATTTTTTAACTTCGAAATTATTATGCCTTAATGAAAAACTGGGCAAGTCAAACCAATATCAACCTAATAAGTTACTAAGTGACACGGAACGATATACGTGAAGCACAAATCATCGCCAGATCTCACTGAATAACCGAAAAACTACAGCAGTAAAGAAAAGAATTTCAAGCTACTATCGATGTCCGATCAAAATGTTTTTTATCCAGATGAGTACAGCAAAGAAGGTACCATCCGTATATCGATTGATAGCCCAGTGGTACTTCCTATATTTAAAATGTTTATTGCCATCTATTTTGTGTCTTTCGGCAGATGCCTGCCGATCCTCCAATTCATCTTCGTCGTATTTTAATGCCTAAGACAAAGTAAATATTTCACCGAACATTTCATACGTTTCGTGATTCAAAACATCTCGAAAATAAAATGGAAATTAAAATAAGCTTGGCTGTCGAAATATTCAAAAATTTTTGCATCTCTATATGCTTTATAAAATCCCGAAACTTCACATTCATATATTTTAAGATTTCTGGGATGTAACATAAATGAATAAACAAGAGTAAGCACACGTAAAGAGCACGTGCGATACCTGCAAAGCTTGAACAGCCTCGGAAAATTCGCCGTCTTTATCGGGTTTTAAAACAGTCATAAATGCTGGGTGTTGATCGATCTCCCTACACCATTCATCATAATCAAACGGTTTCTTTGATTCCTTTAAATCTTTTTTGAAATAAAGAGCAAATATATATATGTTTGATATACAATTCATTGATGTATTATTCATCGAAATAAATTATTCATATCTTGAATGATTCGAATAAAAATTATATTTTCAATTGAAAAGAACTTTACAGATATATTTTAAAAAAAAATCAAATATAGTGTTTGAAACAGAATAAATTATAATTTTATAATTTCTAAAATAATCTAAAAATCTAACCAATTGGGGGGCATTATCTATCTATGCCAAGATTTATAATGATAAAAAGAAAATGATAAAAGATAATGAAATCCATTTGAAATGATGGAAAGAAAATGATAAAAGATAATAAAATCCATTTGAAATGATAAAAAGAAAATGATAAAAGATAATAAAATCCATTTGAAATGATCATAGATTAGTCGGATTTAAAATTCCAGCATGATTTTAAAACAAATAAAACGATAAAATAAATGGATTATGTAAAATTTTCATAATGTTTTATAACAAAAGTTAACCTCTATCAAATATTTTTTTTAAATCATCTTTGTTCGATTGGAAAATATTTGATAAATAATTTTTTTTAAACAAATTTTAAATTTCATATTAGTACAAAACAAGAAATTAATAGAAATAAATGAACAAATTTTCATATCAATATAAAACAAAAAATTTTTTCATCATTTTTGATCGATTGAAAAGTATTTAATAAATTATTTTTTTTTTTTTTTTGAAAACAAGTTTCAAATTTCACATTAATATAAGACAAGAAATTAATAAAAAAAAAAATGAATAAATTTTCACATTAACACAAAATAAGAAATTAATTAAAAGAAAAACGAATAAATTGAATTGAATAATCCTAAAACATAAATCAAACAACCACATTGCAAATATCCCATTTCATACTATTAATTTTAAACATTTTTTTTTTTTTTTTTTTTTAGATTAAACGATGATGAAATTTGCAACAAACTAGTACTTTAAAGATTGGATTACTGCTAAACTAAATGCTAGAGTTAACTAGATTAAATCGTGACAAAGATCATTTTTCAAGGTGAAAAAAAAAAAATTTAGTACTAAAATTAATTGTGAAGAGTTTGTTCAATTCTGTTTGCATTATCAAATTATCAATTATCATATTGTTTGTCAAATAAATTAATGACAAAATACTTGATTGAATATAATTTGAAATCAAATATTTATCATTACCTAATTTATCAAACAATATGAAATGAATATTTGATTGAGATGATATATAACATAACTGATAATTTATTAACAGTATTACTGTTATAGTATTAATTAATTCGATGTAAAAAGTAAGTGATAAAGTAATATATTTTGATGAAAAAAAAAAGGAATGATATTAGAATTGATGCAGAAACAAAAATTTCTACTGATAAATAGAAATTTTAATTAAAAATATTGTAATTTAAAAATTTTTTCTTATCAGCAAAAAAAACATTTTTAAAATTTAATTCGAATAATGAAATAATTTTCAAACATTTATATAATTAATAAATACCTAAATTTATTTTTGCCAACTTTATTAAATAAAATTATTTCATCATTTATTGTCAAATAAATTGAAATGAAATTTCTTTATTATTTAAAACATTCTCACAATTAAATAATATGTGATAAAGTATTAAAAATCTAATTTAATGAATATAAAATTGGTACTCATTAATCAAGTATTTTACATATCCCAATAAAATTAATTATCTTTATTATAGCAAATTGAATTTTGTGCATGTGTAAAACATTGAAATGAATTATAGATATAATTCTAAATTGGCAACAGATGACAATTACCAATAATTATAATTAAACTTTGCTCTGTTAATAACATGATAAGATTATGTATCATAAGTGACAAAAAATATGCTGCAAAACTTCCCAAAATGTTTATATGATATTTGCAATTTCGATGCAAACATTGAATTATCAAATTAAATTTATCAAATATGATAATAATCATTTGGCAAAATTTTTTTTTTTATTTTAGCAAATAAATTAATTAGTTATGATGAAATTTCTTTTTTTTTTAAAAAAAAGATTTCACAAAATTATAAAAATTACGTGAAATAATCATGCAGTTAGTTGAAACAAGCAAATTTGTATTTATTGTTAATGATGAATTAAATTAATTAAATGATCTTTTTAATTAAATAATCTTTTTAATGATAAATTAAATTATCATTTAATGATAATGATTATGTTGGCTTAAAGAAAAAAAACGGATGAATCCATACTGCAGGCAATGTAATAATTGATAAAATCAAATGAACTGATATCTGATTAGTTTATTTAGTATATACTTTAAAAAAAAAAAAAAAGTGATATTATTTAATTTCTATTAAATATGAAATTTCAACACATCAAAATGTCATTAAGATAGATGGTGAAAACATTGAAAAAAAAAAACAAAGAAAGAAAGAAATCAAAAAAATAGTGAAATTAATGAAATGAACAAATGTTAATGATAATAATAAAATGATAAAAGATAATCCTTGATAAGTGCAAATAACTGAACAATAAAGAACGGGACTTGATTAATCGAATTTATAATATTCAAATATTAGCAGTTTTTTTTGATTCTGAATTATTTCCAATTCCAATCACAAATACAAACCCATCATCAAATATGTATATTAACCATTTAGAAATGAAAGATAAATGCAATTATCAAAAGCATTAAAAAGAATTTATGATAAGAAATCATCAAATCATCAATGATAAAAATAAACCATTGCCAATCAATCAATGATAATGATAATCAACAATGATATCACAATGATAAAAGATTTGCATTATTATCATATAATAACAATCAATCTTGAAGAAAAAAAAAAATTGATCATAGCCAATTTATGAATGCAAAATAAAAAATCAAAGTAACTAGAATCATTGGATATTAGCAGTGATCATTTCCACATATCTGATAATCTTTTTCAACTTTAATCACAAATACAACTTTTCAACAAATTCAATTTTAAAC